TTATTCAACAGCAGTATGGGGAATAAAGGCAGAGCCTACAGGAATGTGGGCTCCAGCAACAAGTAATCATTATTGCAAAATCAAATTCCCCATCTCATCTCTGATATGCCCGTATGTAACCCTAGAGCTGGGCCTCACAGTGTTATAAATCCAGCATACAAGGCAAAGAGCAGTGGGATATAGAGCCCCTTGTGTATCTAAAAGCTCTGCCCAGGCAAGAGAGATATATGATGGCAACTTTCTCCCCATTGCTTTTGCAATAAACTTCACCTAGAGCTCCAGGAAGAGTTGGGAATGTAATTCAGCTCCCATAAATCAGGACTAAAATTAAAATAGCCAGATATGTAGCAGCCTGCTCAGGTGTATGGAGAATTTGAAATTTAGTGGCCTGGTAATGAGTAGGAGCAGCTTATCCAATTAGGTAGAGAAAGAAGAAATACTGCTCTCTGGGGTAAAAAGCTAAATGCTTTAATCCATTAAAACACCACATCTCTGTCAAAACTAGATTAATATTAAAGTTCATGTAACATTTAACTTTTTTCAAAGAAATAAGGTAAAATGTTAGCGAATTACATAAATGAAAAAGCTATACTTAACAATAACTCAAATTTGCCTACTTACCACTTATACAATTACAATTTTAACACAATTTACAATTCTAAATTGTCTACTTGTCAGTAAACAAATTACTTGTGTAATTAACCTTTGGTGGGATGTACAGGCACATATGTACCTGATTATGAGTTTTAGTCTTTCCTACAGCACAACTTGAAGCTATTCTGGAAGGCCTTTCAGCAGGGCTTCGGTGATGTGCTAGCCATGTGTTCTTCCCATTTATCCCGTTACTACTTCCCTGCAGGAGACCCAACATGCCAACTGGGTGGAGCCAACGGAGGGCCTATATTTAACAGGAAGTAAAAGTGGGAATGTTTACATGACTGTTAAAAACCTCAATGCAATGGCCTTAGAGCTGAATCTGCATGGAGATAGGGCAGTTTAAACTGGGAAATCAGGTCATGTAGAGATGATTTGTCCTTGAAGTTATGCCACTTTTTTTTTAATTTTTTTATTTTTACTGTACTGTGGCAGCAGCTACTTGAGATTTACCACAGAATTTCACAAAATACTTCATGACATCTTAGATGTTTTGTGCCTAAAGACAAATGGCCTTTAAAAAATAAAAATTAAAAAAAATATATATATTATTGATTTTTTACAGAGAGGGAGAGGGATAGAGTGAGAAACATCGATGAGAAACATCAATCAGCTTCCTCTTGCACACCTCCTACTGGGGATGTGCCCACAACCAATGTATATGCCCTGGACCGGAATCGAACCCGGGACCTTTCAGTCTGCAGGTCGACACTCTATCCACTGAGCCAAACCAGTTAGGGCAAGACAAATAGCCTTTTGATATTGCTTGCAGTTTTATTATTTCTATTTGTTTTACAATCAGTATTTAAGACAAATTATGATCTTTTCTTATTTGGGATCTTTTGTCTGTGGGAGAGGGAGGTAAGGCCAATTGTATAGTCAGGACAGTCAAATCAACTCCAGGGCATAACATGGTGACAGATTATGAGCTCTAACTCTGAAATTGCATGGTTCTCATTCACTCCAGCCATGGACTGAGATGTTAGCATGTGAGTGAGTTCCCCTACACAATTTCCTAAACTAACATGAGATAATAAGATGGTTGTCAAGTGTCTGGTATAGAGCCCATAACATAGAACACACTCAGTACCTGGTTATATTTATTTACTTTCAAAGAATGTTGAGTGGCTGGTAATCTTGCAAAGAATGCTTCACATTTCAGAAATCTGTTCACAGATGGCTGGATTGTAAACTCTCTGAAGGCAAAGATGCAATAGTGTTATTCCCAGGGCCTAGCAGAGAGTCTGATACATAGTAGGTGTTAAGTAAATATTTGAGATATTACTGAATGACCAGTGCCACAGGCTTTTGGGAATTATAGAGAGAAAAAATGCTTAGAAAAGGGCATCTACTTTGTAGAAAAAATAGCATGGACAAAGATGGCTCCACTTTGTTTCAGAGGAGTGTCATTGATATTTAAGAAAAGATGAAAAGCAGTATGGTCCATTTCTCAACAGCTTGAAAGATGTGAGGACCAGAGACTTGAAAACTGGTAAGCAAATTGAATTAATGCTTTAGCAAAATTCAAGAGATACACGGCCAATTTGTCTTATCTCAGATAGGCTTACACTGAGCAGGTGCCTCAGGGATGATAGATATAGGTGGGGAAAAACTAAAGAATTAGTTTAAGAATTTGACCTTAAAAAAATCGATCTTTTATTGATCACTTTGTGTGTGCTAGGCATGGTGTTAGGTAATGCTTATACTGCCATTGCAAATTAAAAAAAAACACATAAAATCAGTCATCTTTATTTCTTTTTCTTAAGAAGAATTTCATGTGCACTGACTTATCCAATGTCTCACAATACTTGGTGAGGCTGAAGTATTTGATTTCACTCCTTTTTAAAAACACTGGTTTTGTGCAATAATTCACAAATGATAAACATTTACCCATTTAAAATATACAAATCAGTAGGTTTTAGTACATTCTGAGTTGTGTAACTATCTCATTTATTCTTGAAGATACACACACACACACACACATATATTTTATTCAATGTCTAGGCAGCTTTTTTCTAAAGTTTTAAAAACTACCTTCAAAAATTGATTAAGCAGAACTTTACTGGTACACCAATAGGATTACAGGTTAAGTTTGAGCCAGACACTAGTCTGAATCCCAGCCCCTTGATATTGGTTGTGACCTTAGGCAATTTTCATTATCTGCAAAAAGGAGATAAAATTAGTAAATTCATTTAAAATGCTGTCTGATACATACTAATGCCAATAAGTTAACTATTATTGTTGTTGTTATTAAAAGTGCACATTAACAGATATTCCTGGTAATTTAATATTGTGGGATCCTGAAATAACTTCCGAATCATGAAAATTGTAGTCAGTACTTATTTTATCGTATTCTTTGCAAATTAGTAATCCATGGAATGTTAACAATGTACTAATAAAAATTATTTTACAAGTTGATTATTTGGCATTCAGAGGCATTTTCCCAAACTATTTACTGGGACAGAGCCAGCTAGCCGCCTACTCAGTGTCCCTTTTCCCTTCCTCCTCATTGGCAGGGCACAGGCTTGATCTGGAAGGCCGTGTGGGGGGTAAAGGACTCTATTTCCAGACTCTGTCCCAGCAGGGATGCCAGAGATATAGATAGATATTGCTGAATAGGACTTCTAGGAATTAGTTTCCAAAGGAGTCTTTTTGTACTTCTCTTCCTCTTTCTCTGGGTCTTGATTATGGACTTGTCTGGAGCTCTGATAGCCATCTTGGATCATAAGATAAACTCAAGAACATTACTTGTTCAGTGTGAAGAAAGATGGGAGCTAGGGGTGTAATACCAGCAGGGGTCCTCAAACTTTTTAAAGTGGGGGCAAGATCACAGTCCCTCAGAGAGCTGGAGGGCCGGACTATATGAACTACTAATTCCTACTGTAACACCTTGGCTGTGCTCACTGCCCAAAAAACCTGGCGGGCCAGATCAGACTCCTCTGCGGGCCACATGTGGCCCGCAGGCAGTAGTTTGAAGACCCTTGAACTATGGACTGTCTTATGCTCATTTACACGAGAGAAAAACAACCTGCTTTAAAGTTATTTGGGTTTTGTGCTCTACACAGCTGTCTCTGATTTCAATTCACACTTTCACTTTTCTTTGTCAGCCCAAAATGGACTTTAAAGCGTACTACACTCTTTCAACAAGCATGCATTGAGCACCTGCTGTTGTGTGCCAGTCACTGTTTTGAGGGCTGGACATGCAAAGAAAAAGGAACCTCTGCTTTCAGGGATTAACAGTTTGGTGGAAGAGACATATAATAAAAAATAGTACAATGCCATTGGTGCCAGAAACAAGGCAGGCAGAGATGGGTCGATTGGTCTTAACAGACCTGACTTTCAGGAAAACATAAGCAAGCTGAATACTGATGAGGCCTTTAAGTGAAGGGCAAAGGGCATTTCAGGCAGAGAGGTACATGAAAAAAATGACCATTATGCACAGCAGCATTTCTATTAGAAATGTATTGTTTCGATTTAGACACTGAGAACAACATCTAACTTTTGCAGGAGCCAGGCCTTCATATTTATGCCTTCCCCTTATTCAGTAAGATCTAAATTGCTAGAGAGATATCTTGGCCCATAGTAACACTGGGAAACGTCTGTTGAAACAATGTTGTGCACTTCAATAAAGAACTGGTTAACAGATGTAAGGATTGAGGGTTAAGACTACAAGGTAGAAATTAGGTGTCTTCTACCCTTCCCTCACAGCAGACCTAAACTGAAGGGAAAAAAATAAAATGGTTGGGATGGGAAGGCTGGGTAGCCCATCTCTTGTCTACCCTATCTGTCCTGCTGACCTGCAGTCCAGGCGGATAGAGCAGTGTGAGGACAGGAATAATTCGTAGCAGTGAGGCATAATGTGAATGCTGTCTATTTCCTATCCTGCTCTTTCTACCTGACCTTTGATTCATATACTAGAACTTAGATTTAGAATCAAACCAAAATACTAACTAGCGTTAAACAGTCAGTTGCTAGAAGACTCGATTTTTCTTATTTGGAAATATAAGTTCTTTAGTTCTCAATAAATGATTATTTAATCAGCCACTAAGAGTTATACATTGTATAGATTTGTTAAATAAAGTGTCTTTGTTTTTTACATTTGCTTCAACAGCAGCCTTTCTATAAAAGCTGGCTTTTAATCTAGTATAGTTATCTAGCCCCAAATTAGTGGGATAGCAGGAATCTCCCATCTCTTTTTATCTACTGCATATTCCACTAAACTCAACAACAACAAAAGAACCATTAACTCGAGAATGAATCTTATTCTAGTTCCCTCTAGGGCAGTTCAGTAGTTAGTTTCACTTCAGTGAATAATGACTACAGAAAAGAAATAAGCAAACAAAAAAGACTTTTTCAACCACATTTACTGGTTCACATAAATATTTGAAAACAAACACATATGTCTTTTTCTCTATCCTTGGCACAATTTATTATAGATCTTAATAAACAAACAATGAATAAATATTCATAAGAGGAAACAGCATTTTAAAATATAATAGGTCAATAAGTAGCCAAATAGGTCAATCATTAAAAGGACTGTTTTTTTTTAAATTAAGCCACTGATTTGCAACTTTTATTAAAATAAATTTCATCTATAAAAACAAGCTGATTTATAACTTGATCTTAGCTAAAGTTTTGATAGCAGTTGAATTTTTACATTAAAAATTGCAAAATTTCAACTAAAGAAAAAATAATACATTCAGACATATTTATACTTTAAAAATTATATCAACTTCAGCAAATAAAAAATAACTACATATCAATTTACATTAGCCCTCTGGTCCAGAATACACTTTCCATTTAAAATATTTTTAATCTCTCTTCTGCACGGAATTGGGTAGCTTCTAGTGGGAATTTGTATACAGTCTGTTCTTGATGAAGACAACACTAGACAGATGTTGCCTGATGCCTGGATAATGCTGAATGTGACAAAACCAGCGAGACACATTAAGATATTTCTCTTTTTCTTGAACTGTCAGGTCAACCTAAGTAGAGATTAAAAACAACATACAGAACACATGCATTACATAAACACAACTATTAATATCATCTGAATAGAAGATAGAAACTGGGGTGGGGTGGGGGGGGGGAGGAAGAGGGGATCCCAGTTCTCAAAACAACATGTTCAGATAGTAGTGAAAAATTTTAGCCACTTAGGAGAACTATCCAATTGTTTAATACTTTTATGTTCAATTCAAAACCAGATATGCTTTCCAAGGAGATCTGGAGTTTTCAACAAATGCCAATTTTACATTAACTGAGGATCTGGAAGCCCAAAGAGTTTTTTTTTTTTTTTTTTTTTTTTTACTTTATTAGAAAAGAAAACAGGAGAAAAAAGAAAATAGCTTTAAAGAGACTAAGATATAGTTCTCTTTCTCTAATATTTTTCAGCACACCTAAAAAAAGTTTATTGGCATTTAACAATTTAACAAGGAAATACTAAGTAAACTCATTAGATAGATAGATGATAGATAAACTTAAGGGAATACTACCGTGTTTCCCCGAAAATAAGACATCCTCCAAAAATAAGACCTGCTTAGAGGTTTCCTTCTGAGTGAAATATAAGCCCCCCCGCTCCCTAGGCTAAACATGAGAGATTTGGCCCACTGATTCTGAAAGAAATGGAGTCACAAGAAATTCACCAGGAAATTCAGGAATTGGATTGTTATGATGTTCCAGAAGATGATGACATGATTGTCATTGAATAAATGAGTAAATTCTTGATACTGTAGGATTCACAGTTTGTCTGGTTTGTGTTAACAACTACTGTACTACCGTACCATATACAGGTAATAAATTTCCTTTATTTTCATTTAACAATAAATGTGTACCGTATTCTTCTTCATGGAAAAATAAGACATCCCCTGAAAATAAGACCTAGCTCGTCTTTGGGAGCAAAAATTAATATTAATATAAGACACTGTCTTATGTTCAGGGAAACAGGGTAAGTAAACTCATTAGATAGATAGATGATAAATAGGTAGTTGGCTATACATGGTTGGTGTATACATATGTGTACTATTGGTTCTTTTTATTGAACTCTGGGGGAAAAAATTCACTAAAGAAGACAATGATCCATTTAATTTTAAGTGATCTATGCTTACGACAAAGAAGGAAGAGCATTTCCAGTGGCAAGTGCCTCAAATCGACAAGAGATCTTTGAAATTCTGTTTGCAATAAAACTGAACTCTATCTTCAGTTGATGTAACACAGCAGTTCACTGAATTTACTTTCAAGCTATAAGAATGCACAGAGATTTGGCTGGAGAAAGATGCAATAATAACGGTTCATGACAATCATTTCACTGGGCTTAAAATCCAAAGTAGGAGACTTATAGACTTTTTTCTAAGACAAATCTTAGATTGGAATCATGAAGAGTTGTCAGGTAAAGAGAAAGCCAATAGGGCAATAACTCACAGCCATGACCCATGTAAAAGTAGAGCAGTTCCATCTGCTGTTGTAAATTCAGCATTCATTTAACAGATATTGTACGCCTCTGTGAAACTGACATGCATCTTAAACAAGGAAAAACACCTCTGTCACTCTTCTGGGTTCAAACCCATTAGTAGTCTGCTTATTGGAAGGTACTTTAAGTGAGATGGACATCCCATATCTGCTCAGAATTTAGCATATACATAATTGTGCTTATAGGAAAATATTCTGTTAAGTTACTGGGTCAAAATAACTGAAGGATAAATCCCTCTAGGGTGCAATTAATACAGAACAAAAAATAGTATTAGCAATAAAAGGACAGACGACAATATTTTCTCAATAAGTGTTTCAGTGAAATTCTATTTCCATTTTATGTTTACTACAAGGCAATTTAATAAGAAAAACTGAAGTAAGTTATCCTGCCTTCCTTTTTGACATTATGACATCAGGATACTATTGTAACATTTATCTTTGGTGGTTTCAACTACCGTATCTCTGTTGGCCCAGTTTACTTAAATTATTAGTAGTGAGAGTCTCACTGCTTTTGTTACATAAGAACTTAAGTTTGGGTTTAAGACCCACATACAAGCTGCTATTGCAAATTGTAAAAATACTGGAGGCCCAATGCATGAAATTTTGGGCACTGGGGGCCCTGTGCCCTCTCGCAGTCTGGGAGCCCTAGGGGGATGTTTGACTGCCGGCTTCCTGCCACCACTGCTGCACTTGACAGCCATGAGCCTGGCTTCTGGCTGAGCAGAGCTCCCCCTGTGGGAGTGTACTGACCACCAGGGAGCAGCTCCAGCATTGGGCATCTGCCCCCCGGTGGTCAGTGTATGTCATAGCAACCAGTTGCTCCGCCATTTGGTCAATTTGCATATTAGCCTTTTATTATACAGGATACTCATCTTGTTTCAGGAGGTGTAAGGTTGCATCTAGTTATCAGATATATGCTACTATAACTTTCACCTACAACTTAGTTAATCCTTGGCATAGAGATTTAAAAAAAAATTAACACGTGTCAATAATATCTTTTTTATGCAAAAGGTACTTTTTGTTAAACGAGATGTCATAGTTTCACATGTGAGAATTATGTTATTCTTGTCTGGTGTTGCTGTGCACAGGAGGCGCTTAAACACACATTGTGGAATAAAATAAATATCCATCTATATTTCAAAAGGTAAAGCATTTTATAAATAATTTTTTGGTTCTTTTTCTAACTCTTTTTAAAATATATATATATTATTGATTTTTTACAGAAAGGAAGGGAGAGGGATAGAGAATCAGAAACATTGATGAGAGAGAAACATTAATCAGCTACCTCCTGCACACTTCTCATTGGGTATGTGCCTGCAATCAAGGTACATGCCCTTGACTGGAATTGAAGCTGGGACCCTTGAGTCCACAGGCTGACTCTATGCACTGAGCCAAACTGGCTAGGGCTTTTTTCTAACTCTTTACCATATGTGAACTTCACCACTGATTTAGAAAGAAAATATAAAATTTTTTTTATAATAGAAGCTCAACCACTAGTAAACATAGCTGCAAATCTAAAAGGAAATGGGGGGTGAATTTTCTTAAATAAATAAATAAATAAATAAAATTCAAAATCAACTCCAGCAAACCTCTTTGCTGATAAAGTAAACAGATAAACAAGTTTTACTACAGGTTAGTTTCATGATCAGTTAAATCTGACCACTTTTTTACAATTTAGTCTCTCCAGAACTCTTTCTTTTAAAAAAATCTCCACTCAGCCATTTTGTGAGATGTTATTTTTCAGAATGAATTAAACTCCACTAAGAAGAAAGCAATTCCAAACAATTAAGTACAACTGCTTGTTGATCTATATTCAAGCTGCTCTTGCAGATTTTGAAGCAGTAAAGAGGGCAACATATTTTCACTATTTACATTTCAGAACAGCAGCGTCTGCTCTCAGAGGACTAGCATATGCTGCTACCACACTCATTATTTAAAATAACAAGCAAAATCAGTATTCTTCAACTTAAAACTTTCATACTTAGAGTCTCTAGTGTAAGGATTGTAACAGACCTACAGTATAAACTTATTTTTATTCCAAGACCTTAAACTTTGTCTAACATTTTATTCTAATGATTTTAAACCAGATGATCTATTTTAGAGAATGCAAATGTGTTCATTTTGCCTCAGAAAACTTTGCTAGAAATACACAGAGCTTTCCTAAAATGATAGTCACCACTTAACCTCCTTTTGGTTTAAACTCTGGAGCTTATCCCTTGAGTCTTAAGAAAATTATGACTGGCCTCAATGTGCTACCTTTGCTACTTTTTCAGTGGATTATCTACTTTTGAACTTACAGTAAACAAACAGATTTTCTGCACGAAACTGTTTTCTTAGAACATTTTGGATGGGATCCCCATCAACTATCTTACTTATAACACTGATTTTCCCTCATCCTTTCCTAGTGGACTGGTTTGGGTCCCCAACCCCACCCCCACCCGCTTTGTACAACAGGAAACACAATGCAATTGTTCTAGTTACTACTTCCTGCCTCTTATTGGTCTACATGCCAGTGTGTCTACAGTGATGCTTGGCTCTCCCTTCTTAGCCATTCCTTTTTTATTTCTATTGGCACTCTATAACTAGTTTGAACTTTAAAGCCAAACAGATAATATTCTTAGTCATTAATTTTCCATGAAGACATGTGAGAAACACTTAAAGGGACTCATTCCAGATCAGGGAGAAATGCTGGTTTGCTACCTTTCCAACTGGCACCCTGCAGCCTTTGAGACATGCTTTATGGCCAGCAGTCCTGGACTGCTCTACAGCTATTTCTTTTACTTTTCCTTTCTTTCTAAAAGAACAGCATATCTCCATCGGTGTTCCGAACTTCAAAACAAATGGATTTTAGAAGATAATAATCTTATACTCAAGCAGCACATAATGTTACAAAGGATTATAATAATCTTGAGAAACAGTCTGCTCATAGGGACTGCTATCTACTAGTGAAATCAGTTAAGAAAGCAATGAGTCACTGGAGTGATAATAAACACAGCCACACTAACTGGCAGTTTAACAAAGGAAGAACAGTATTATTCCTCAGGAGAATTTAGACAGATCAGATCTTAGAATTAGAGTAAGTCAGCCGCAACTAAAATTGGGCTCACAGTGAAACAAAACACAGTTAGATTATATGAAGACTTGAAGGTTTCCAGACTGCTGTTTTGTACACAGCACTGATTATACTTTAAGTATTCAATAACATGAACAAACAAATGAAAGAATGAGGGCAAAACTAAATATACTGCCAAAACAGAGCAGGGGAAACTGTCTGATGAATTTGAGCAGGAAGCCAATCTGAACTTTACATCTATTCTGACTCATTTAATATCTAGTAATTATTTTTTTCCTCATGTGGGTATATTTACACCTAACTCAACAAGATGTCAGTTAACACCACAGTGCAGTTCTGTCACAGTACAGGTTTTAGTCTGCGAGGCCTGTTCCTTGAGAAAGTATTTCTCCCAGGTACTCTGTACTTGGACCAAGGGTGGGAGAGATGGTTTGGTTATGAACTCATTTTACGAACACAAAAGGATGGCTAACTTATACATTATTCCACTCAATTACGTTTTTAAAAAGATAAGCATAATATCCTTAATTGCAATATGCTAGTCACTATATATAAAGAGGGTATATACATTACTAAATAGGAACTATAAATAGGTCCAGATCATTAATAATGTCAATGTAACCCTAGTTTTAACATGCAGCATTGAATGAAACACTACTCTGCTTGAAAACCAAATGCTCTGGAAGGCACCTAGATCCATAATTAAATAATTCTGCAGCCGGTGCTATGAATATTTTGCATTATGGAATTATGACCTTGTTCACTCTGCTGGCAAGGAAATTCCACACAAGCTCCCTCCTTCTCAGAGTATTCCTTTCCCTATTGCATGACTGCGTAAGCAAGGGAGAAAAATGTAAATATACACTTGGTTTGCAAGAATTATCTTTTTTTTTTTTTTAAATTACACTGTCCTTCTTAAGGGTCCTGACAGGCCTTTGTTAGCCTGCTGAGAAGCATAACATAGGATTAGAGATGGCACCTCTCTAATATTAACTTTAAAATTAAGTAATGCCACATTTAAATATGCATTTAAAATGACAGTATGTTGTTACTGTTTTATATAAATTATTCTTGGTCCTTTCTATAAGGTAGCTTTGCTCACAGCAGCATAGACTAATTCAAATCAAGTTATGCACTTCCCCAGGCTGAAAGACTCCTGGGTTTGCACCAGGAGATAGATACCTTAATAGCAAGCTCTCTTTACCTGGAGGCTTTTTACACTTCAAAATGAAATAAAAAACAAAACAAAAACTACTAACAAATTTTGAATCATAATGGAATAGAAACAGGCTGGTATGATCCAAGTATTTCATCTCTACTTAAACTGCCTTCACATTTAAATACTTTAGATTTAATTATATTGAAGTACTAAAGGCCTGACGCATGAATTCGTGCATGGATGGGGTCCCTCAGTCTGGCCGGCAATTGGGGCTGATCAGGGTTGGCGGGCTGGGGAAGGACCACGGGAGGTTGGCAGGCAGTGGGAGCACACTGACCACCAGATCCTTCATTGAGTGGGGTGGCCCCTGGGGATCAGTGCATATCATAGCGACCAGTTGACCAGACATTCAGTTATCTGGTCAGTCCTTCATATATACACACAATTAAAGCTTATACTTTCACTATAAAGTTATGCAATCTAAAACAGGATATATAAAGAGATTGCTAAATACTGCTAATCTCAACTAGCATTTAGCTACACAAGGCATTATGCTAAGAGCTGAAGAGGTCAAAGGGAAATATGACACGATTCTCTTCAATCTCATTTTGCTTTAAAATGAATCTCTCTTTTTAAGGGTGGGAAACATTCAATCCACTTATTCCTGTTGTACCAGTATAATTACTAATAGCCCCAATGTCACTGACAAAAGTGTTGGTTTGGATAACAAACCATATGATCATCCTACTTACAAGCAATATTTAGTCAAACTTACTGTAAGCTTTCTAAAACAATAAGTATTTCCTCGGAGAGCCAAAGCTATCTAAAATCAACATATTTTTTTTCCTGATAATTTAATGATTCTACTGTACATTCTACTTTTCTCTAAATGTCTCTTTAATTGGTCACTTAATATTCTGATCAGAAATTAGCACTAAATTCCATTTTCTCTTATTCACTAATTATTTTTCAAGTAAGAGTCTTCTCCAGCTGGTGTGACTCAGTAGTTGGGTATCAACCCATGCACCAAGAGGTCACTGGTTCAATTCCTAGTCAGGGCACAAGACCGGTTGTGGGCTCAATCCCCAGTAAGGGGCATGAAGGAGGCAGCCATCAATGTTTCTCTCTGATCCATGTTTCTCTCTCTCCCTCTATATTCCTCTCTAAAAATCTATAAAAAGTTTTATATCTTCAATGAGATTAAAAATTGCTTGAAAATAGTTTTATACTTTTTTTTATGTAACTTCAGCATAGAATAATGGGCATACATAGTAAGCTCTTACTAAGTAAACTTATAATAATTAAGAGTACTATGCTAAATTAAGGGTCAGACCAGGCCATTACAATAATAATGTTATAGAACTTGACACAATCACTTAGGTATCTTATCAAAATAATGCTTCATAAGTCCTGTAAACCCAAACAGAGGAATTACAGCTCTGCCAGAAGACAGAGTTTTCCTTGGCACGTCCAAAACCTGAGCTATATCTTTGTATAAAGTACTCAATATTCCTAAGCATTTGTTTCCTTCTCTGTAACATTCAACTAGTCTTCTCTCTTTCAGAGCTATGAGATAATGAGAAAAAAATACATATAGAACTCTGAAAAACATAAGATATGTGAATTATGTTCTTCAATGTTTATGGAGAGGACAGACTACATACACATATCAGGAGTTATGCCAAATAGTGGTGCTACAAATATGAATTGCTATAATCTTTAACTCAAGCAGTTTATAATATAAAAGACAGAGAAATTTTCCAAGAAGAGTTAATAGTAAAAAATAAAACAAGCCAGAACTGAGATAGCCTTCGAAGTACAAAAAGAAACAGAGGAAAGAGTACTTGAATATGCTTTAGGATCTCAAGAAGACTTCATCAGGAAATTAGTGCTAGTGATTGATTCTTGATGAAATACAAATCAATTTTGGAGGAATATAAAGGCTAGGCCAAGAAGCAAAAGAGAAAAGCAGTGCAAGGACACTGAATAGAAAGAGCAAAGACTGTGGAGACTCCAGGGAGTACATTATGGCTCAGAGAGGCGTGTAGGAAGAATGATGACGATGAGGTCAGAAAGGGAGGCAGGGCCACATGAAGAAGGGTCTCCTATCCTAGGGAGTGAAAGAAAGGAAAAGGGCCTTAGCCGGTTTGGCTCAGTGGATAGAGCACCAGCCTGTGGACAGAAAGGTTCCAGGTTCGATTCTGGTCAAGGGCACATGCCTGGGTTGTGGGCTTGATCCCTAGTAGGGGGCATGCAAGAGGCAGCCAATCAATGATTCTCTCTCATCGATGTTTCTCTCTCTTTCCCCCTCTCCCTTCCTCTCTGAAATCAATAAAAATATATGTTAAAAAAAACCCAAAAACCTGTTCGTAAAAAAAAAAAAAAATTGCCTTAGTAGCAATAAAGATGGACTGTAAGAGATGTGATTGGTTGCAGGAGGCCATTTCAATAGCTCAGACAGAACATAATGAATTCTAGAACTAGGGCAATGTCATCTAGAATTACAGAAATAAACACACGGTAGAGGTATCCATGAGGTAAAAACAAGACCTCACTGATTGAATGCATGAGGTAAAGAATACAGAAAAACATATGAGTTATTTTATCCACAGGGGAAAGATGGATGTTGGGAGGAGGTTTTAGACAGAGATGTAAGAAAGTACAAACTCTGAACCTAACTGTCTGGTTTCCAACATTTGCTTTTGCGATTCACTTGGGTGATCTCAAAGAAGACACCAGACCTCACTATGGCTCAGTCACTTCATCTGTAAAATGGGAATGATAATAGCACCTATATCACAGGGCTGTTATATGGATTAAATGAGTTAACATCTATAAAGCATACAAAACTGTCCCTATATAGTTAATGACATATAATTGTTTGTAAGTGGGAAACAATTTAAGATGTAAACAATTTAAAGTAATTGACCAGATAGAGGAAAATAATTGAAGATATGAGAAAGAAAGAATATAAAATTTGGGACAAGATCCAGAAAAGGGGCAGAAGGTAGAGAGGGAATTGAAGTAAGAGGTTAGATGAATGGATTAGCCTAGGAAAACAGCAAGATGATTCTTAGTCCAGAAAGAGGAGACAGGATGAATAAGAATGTACACATAGAAAAGGCTGAAAGGTGAGTAGAGTTAAAGGCTAGCCTCTATTTTCTATCTGAGTAAGGGAGGAAAGCTCTGTGATAATGATTGAAGATAAACAGGGGAGGCAAAAAATGGGATTGAACAAAAGGCTAAAGGTCTGAAATTGTGCCTGGGAAGAATAAAAGAGCTGATCAGTATTACAGCCTGGGTGAAACTGAATAGTATAAATTTATAGTGGTACCAATCTTAGTGTAATTTCTCCAACATAACTCGGCCTGGCTTTAGTATTGAAGGCATCTATTTAGATTAACCAAGAATTGGGGATTGGCAGGGAAAGGGTGGTGAGTGTAAAGTGGAACAAAGAAGCTGAAGATATTATAATAAAGGATGGATGTAGTTGAAGTTACACAAAAGGGATTCTAGTTTGGGTGGGGAAGAAAGTATACAGGTCAGAAAAAAGAAAGGGGTGACTTCCAATGATGGAATTTAGGGAGTAAGAGATTAAGAGCTAAGTATAGGAGGTTGCACAGAACATGCAGTACTGGAATTAAGAAGGAGAGGTGGGGTCCAGGTGATGAGGACGATCAAGTCCAAAGGGTGGCAAGAGAAGTAGCTGCAAAAAGGAGAAGTACAAGAAACAAATAGATCAAGAAACAGGAACCAACTATTTGATGGACACATGGAAGAAGTATTTGCATAAGGTACCTTGTATTAAAAATTATTCATTAAAATAAATTTTTTTTTTATTAATTTCAGAGAGGAAGAGAGAGGGAGATAAAAACATCAATGAGAGAATCATTGATCGGCTGCCTTCCGCAGCCGATCCCCTACTGGGGATCAAGCCTGCAACCTAGGCATGTGCCTTTGACTGGAATTGGACCTGGGATCGTCCGCAGGCCGATGCTCTATCCACTGAGCCAAACTGGCCAGAGCTATTCCTTTCATTTTTATTTGATAAACTGAAAATTGAAATTACTTAATTCAAGACAAATAAATATAATCATCTGAACATTATAGGAAAAAAGCCAATAACTTCAAATACTCACTATGAAGCGATGGAGTCCATAGTATAAAACAATATCTGCTAAGGTAAAGTTATATCCTGTAAGATAGACTTTATCTTCAAGATATGAATTAAGATCCTAGAAAGAAAACAAAATGTTTATTTTAAAACCAGTAATACTAAAGTTAACTACTGTATTTATCATCTGATTTTAAACATTTAGAAAGCTATTAGAAAACACAGTACTGACATTTTAGTTTAATAAATTATCTTTGACATTAATAGTAAGATTTATTCAAAATCACAAGTCATAATCACCTCATTTAAAAAAAAAACTAGGACAAACATTGTTAATCTTATTTTAAAGAAATAAGAAAAAATTTTAAAATGATATTCAAACTGATCATTTCAGACATCTAAATTTTTTTTGGGGGGGGTATGGGGGTGGATATGGAGAGGAACATTTTGTAAACATGCTCATGTTAGAAATATTTTTTTCATTGAAATGGAAAAAGCTCTTCGATTTCTAACTCTTTAGAGAATTATACTTTGTGTTTCATTTTTATATATTTAAAAAATTTTAAATGTGGTAGAATACATGGAACATAGATTTGCCATCTTGGAGAAATAGGCATAGGTAAACACCTGAACTGCTGCCTTGCACAACTATTGCAAAACTACAACTAAAAGACAAAATGGACATCATCCAGAACCCCAGGAGGGCTAGCTGAGTGGAAATTCTACAACTAGAAGGAAAGAGAAAAGCACACTGAGACTCACAGCAGCTGCGGAAGGTAGAGGTACAGAGGCGCTCGAGGAGAGGGCTGGCCACTAAGTATGCAGCTGGCTTTCTCCATCGGGGGAGGGAGACAAAAAGCTCCTGACTGCTCTGAACTCTGGTTCCAGGTGAGTCTCTGGAGACTCAGACTCATATGGGGAGAAACTGGGCTGTCTGGCTGTGGGCAAAATGCGAGGGCAGCTTTCTCTCAGAGGTGCTTGCACTGATTATCACAGGGCACTGAGACCCAGGGTCCACTTAGGGCAGGGCTGACAGGAAGCCATTGCGGTTTGCTCTGCCCTGAGATCCTGCCCCATGAAGCCCTTGCTGATGGCTCTGCCCTGAGACTCAGCCCCATCCAAGTTGAGCGCAGAGGCTTTTGCATATGAATGGCCTGGTTCTTTGAATTTTAAACTTACCTAACAAACTGCAGCTGAGTCAGTGAGACCCAGAATATCCAAAAGAAGACCCAAGGCCCCATAGCAGCTTGCACTGCTTCACAGCTGGGCCTCATTTGGACACCTCCAAAACCCATACAAAGAAGAGGAATCTGCAGATCTCCCTGTAGCTCCTGCTGGGTGGCCTCAGGCAGAGCCTAAATTACCACCTCCATGGAGATCCAAGAGCCAGTGTACCCTGGGGTCAGTGTGGGACCATCCAGATTACAACTCCTCAGATTCATAAGGGACACACTCAGGGGGCAGACTGAGCACCAAAGTCCCATTGAAGCAAGTCTTGTCTCATAAGGAATGTCTCCAACACAGAAGTTCTCCCATTATAGACACAGCTTATTCTCACAACCAATTGGCCTGGAGGCCAATTCCTCCCAGTGAGACTAACAACAATCAAGGCTTAACTACAAGACTGTGCACACAGCCCACAAAGAGGTGCATCAAGAGTGTTCACTTCAGGTAATTGGGGAGGCTGAACCACTGGGCCCTATAGGACACCTAGCACACAAAGCCACTCTATCAACTCAGGAAAGCAGCCAAAATGTGAAGACAAAGGAACAGGTCATTTAATTTTAAGAAGCATTTTAAAATAAGGTCTGAAACAATAATTTAACACTCCTTAATATAGTGTACATATTCTTAAAATAGAATCTACATCTATGTTTTAGTTATACAAACTCATAAGGTTATAATCTTATAACCAAGGACAAAAAACTGATTAGGTAATATTTCTGATTAGTCACATTAATGTCTTATGTTTATTTCCTTTTTAAAAGATTTTTAAAAAGTGTTTTTATTGATTTTTTTTTAGAGAGAGATGAAGGGAAAGGGAGAGCAACATCAATTGGTTGCCTCCCACAAACACCCTGACCAAGCAGCGGGCCTGCAACCTGGGAATGTGTCCTGACCAATAATCCAACCAGCGACCTTTCAGGTGCACAGGATGACATTCAACCAACTGAACCACACAGGCCAGGGCTGTTTATTTTATATGATGGAATACTAAGAGGTTATCAAAAAGATAATTTAAGTGAATATTTATAAACATGTAAATACATTCACAACACACTATCAGTAAAGAAAATAAAACACATGCCTATATGCAAAGAAAAAGCTTGGAAGGAACACAAAAAGGGTTCAGTAAATATCTGATGACTAAACATAAATGTTATTAACAGGTCTTTCTTCATGGAACTACTGTACAAATGTTTGAAATCTCTTTTATTTGTTTATTTATATTTTCTAATTTCTATAATACATATCTATTCTCTTTAAAATAAAAACAATATCGTAAAACAGCAAAAAGCAAAGAAAAATAAAATAGAATATAACCCTTCTCATCTGTGCTCATATGGCCAAAATCACATTGCAGTCCATTATCTGTATATCTGCCTCTCCACTGGTTCAACTTCTGTGAGGGCAGGGACTGTGTCTGATGGGTCACTACCACATCTGTTAGGTACAGACACTGTGGCAGAGCAAGGACCATAACCCAAATCACCCAGAACCTCATATATTTTGAAAATGGCAGCCAAATTGTCCCAATTAAAACTTATATATCTCAGATACAACATTTTGGTGGAATTACTTTTTATGCTCCTAATAGCAAATCTATTTTTTGAACTTAAAAAGCCAATTCAATGAAATCCTGCTCCTATGTTTCAGAATCAAGTACTTTATTACCGTCCCTTTTCTGGAAAACTATAAGAGATAGTTATATTTTTTATTTTTTTACTTGCCTGAAATATCACATTCACTTAGGGAAGATAAGCTTGTTCTCATCTGGAAATGCTGCCAAGCATTGCAGGGGGCAGAGGAAAGGGTCAGTGTGGATATTAAGAATGACAGATCACCAGGACAGGCCTACAAAGGAACAAGGCCTGAAATTTATTTCCTATCAATTCTATTTTGACAGTTTCTATCAAAATCTAGTTTAGCACTAGCCAGTTTGATCATGATCAAAGGCACAAACCTTATGCAGGCTCGATCCCCAACCCTGGTCAGGGCATGTGCAGCAGGCAACCAATGAATGTGACTTTTTCATATCCAAGTTTCTCTCTCTTTCTCTCCCATCCCTTCCACTCTCTAAAAATCAATGGGAAAATATCCTCAGGTGAGGATTAACAACAAAAAACAACCAACCAACCAAAGAAACAAAAAACATAGTTTAAGCCATTTTCCTCAGAATGATAAATGAAAAACTTTCAGTACTATAACATCATCTTGCACAACTTACTAGTATATGATTGATTTATATGATAATGGAAACAAAGTTACGTAGGAAGGAGTCCCTGCAGTGATATGAATGGATCAGCGGTCGCCAACCTTTCGGACCTCACGGACCACTGGTTGGCAACTGCTGGTTTGGATGATCTCTAGATACCTTTAACTTTTAAGCTTTCACAATTTTTAAGAAATTTGCTTTATTTTTATTTATTTACTTAAATATGTTTTTATTAATTTCAGAGAGAAGGGAGAGGGAGAGATAAAAATATGGATGAGAATCATTTATTAACTGCCTCCTGCATGTTCCCTCCTGGGGGTTCGAGCCCACAACCCAGGCATGTGTCCTAACTGAGAATGGAATCCTCACCTCCAGGTTCATGGGTTGATGCTCAACTGCCGAGACAATTTGCTTTATTTTTACAAACATAATTAAGAAAAATAATTCCAGTTGGAATATTTTTCATTCTTGGTGACTCAGAAGCCACATTTAGTTTATATTTTATCTCAACAGATACTTTTATTCTAATGTGATTTCTTCAGAAAGAAAATAGAAATCCTAATGTATTTAAGTCTTAAAGGAGGAAAATATAAGCTTTCTTATATCAATCTGACATTTTTTTTAAACTACAATCCCCAAAGATTCTAATTATCTTTGTCTTTAAAAAAATTACTTTACCGATTAAGGAATCAGGATTTCCTAGTGGAAAAATAAACATTAAGCCATCAGATTAAAAAAAGAAATCTTACGAAGTTTTAATTACTAGCTATGATAAGTGATATGGAGGAAAAGTACAGGGTGTGGAATTCTGAAGGAAAAGCATATAGGACAAGGAATGGCATCTTTTGAGAGAGAAGTGCACAAGGATGTTTCTGAGGAAGGGGTATCTAAGCTGAGATCTGAACAGGGAAGGCTGGCTGAGTCAGTTCAGGTAAAAACAATACCAGGTACAAACCCTGAGGCAGAAGGAAATAAGGACAAAGTTTCAGCTACTGACAGGGAAGAAAGATTCCTGCTATTAATAGGTCGTTCATTTTAGACTATAAAGAGAAGTCACAATACCTTCAACAGAATGCGGACATCATCTTTATTGGAGTTTCCATCTACTCGAGTAACTCTGAATTCTAACCATTGTTGAACTATTGCTTTTTCTTCTGCAGTGCTCCCAAGCAAATATTCTTTGTTGGCTTCCTTGACTAGATGAGCTGCTATAGTAGCCAATCCTGTTAGACATGGACCACTGTTTGTTTGAAGAACTGGAATCTTAAAAAGAAAAAAAAGAGTTCATGTAAATTTTTAAAACAAATACTAACAGGACTGCAATTCTAAGTAATTGCTCATTCCCTCAACTATTTTTCAAATACTCTAAGATTTCAATTTAAGGTTTTTTTTTTCAAGATGGCAGCAGAGTAAGTGGACTCTTCTTGCACCTCCTCTCAAAACCAAACAAAAAAACAACAACAATGCACAGGATTTTAAAAAATATATATATTTTATTGATTTTCTTACAGAGAGGAAGGGAGAGGGATAGAGTTAGAAACATCAATGAGAGAGAAACATCGACCAGCTGCCTCCTGCATACCTCCCACTGGGGATGTGCCAGCAAACAAGTTACATGCCCTTGACCGGAATCGAACCCGGGAGCAGGCCGACCCTCCATCCACTGAGCCAAACCAGTTTCGGCAAAGCACAGAATTTTTGTTTGCAGCCACTCACCTGAGGCTTTGATGGAGATTCTGGGGTGGGAGATATTGGGAGGAAGAAGGGGTGGAACTGCAGGCGGGAGAGCTGAGCTCAGTCACCCCATATTGCAGTAGCCATTTTTCCTGAGAGGCACAAGCCTTTCCCAGCATCAGCAACCTGGGGAAAGGCAAATAACCTGCTCGCGAGGATGATACACCTCACCCCACCTTCAGGAAGCCTGCTTGCCCTGCTTCACAACCCCTGCCTGAGGAGCCTGCAGCAGAGGCCAAGCCTACAAGTTGTGCAGTCTCAGGGAACATCAATGATTGGCTTTGAGATGGGGTGATCTTCTCCCTCACACCCCCCACTGTAACATGACTAATACTTCTCCCTTGCAGAACTGATAAAAAACCACCAATTTCCAGCAGACCCCACCAGACTAAATATGAGATCCACTCTGCTGAGATCAGGGGAATATTCCGTATAGACTCAAATGAGTGGCTCTGGGATGGGAAAACACACCCACAATCTTCCCTGGAATCAGAACAGCACCTCCCCCTCACAGCAGACTCAGGGGTCTCATCCTCCCAATTCTGCCAAAAGCCCTTTCAGAGAGAGCCTTTTTAGTGACTAAGTCTGACGTTGGCCAGCAGGCAGAAGCAAGCAAAGGAAGAGCCCAGGTGCCTTTGGACATTTGCTGACATGGCCCTGTCGACAGGCCTAGAGCACAGTGTGGCCTCTCCCTAGCACAGCCAAGCTCTGAGGAGGCAGCCATAAACTGTGGATTGCTCGAAGCTTTGAAAAGGTTGCAGAAGAGCAAAACATGGTTGGCTTTGGACAGCAATTAGCACCAAATTACCTCCCAAGACGCCATAAATGGCATACAAAACAGTCAGCTTCAGTCAACATAAAGCAGGATCCAAAGGGAGCTCCCATAATGAATTTAATTCTGCTGAGACAAAATCCACCTTAATTTCTTTTGCATTTTTTTATTGTATTGTAATTATTTTTTACTCTCTTTTTCCTTCTATATCTTTTTCTCTTTCCTTTTCTTATTCTATTTTTCTTTTCTTACCCCCTTTATTTTTTCCTTTTAGTAATTTTTTACCTTCTTATACTGTTTTCCTTTTCCTATTCTTTATTTTTGTAATTGCTCTCCCTTCTTTTCACATTCTCTTTTCTTTCCACTTTTTTCATCTTTTGTAATATTCCCCCTTTCTTTTATACTTGCTCTCTTCTAAATTCTCCTTTGTTTTGAAGTTGCTTTTGTTGTTGTGGGGATCTTCTGTATGTTTTGTTTATTTTCTAGTTTTATTTCGTTTTGTTCTATCAACACCTGCATAACAGCTCACACAATATGGTGGTGGGGGTGGGGGGAGTTGAGCCTCACAGTCAGCCAGCCTGAGGGAAGATCCCACCCATGAATGGGACAGACATAATCAAGAACCAGTTGCAATAGGAGAACCCAAATAACCAACCTAGACCAGATAGCTTTACAGGAGAGTTCTACCAAACTTGCAAAGAAGAACTAACACCTACCTTCTCAAACTATTCCAGAAAATTTAAGCTCTTTTTACAAAGTTACCATTTTCTTAATTTCAAACTAGATAAAGATACTCTAAGGGCCAATGTCCTTGATGAAAATAGATGCTAAAATCCTCAACAAAATTGGATCCAGCAGTACATTAAACAGATCATACACCATTACCAAGAGGGATTTTTCCCAGAGATGCAAGGCTGGTACAATATTTGCAAACCAATAAATGTGATGTATCACATAAACAAAATGAAGGTTAAAAAAAAAAAATCACATGATCATAGTAATAGATATACCACAACATAATAAAGGCCATATACAACAAACCAAGAGCCAATATCATATTCAATGGACAAAAATTAAGTGTTTCCCTTAAGATCAGGAACAAGATAAAGGTGTCGCTTTCACCACACTTATTCAACATTGTATTGGAAGTCCTAGCCACAGCAGTCAGATGAGAAGAAAAAATAAAAGACATCCAAGTTGGAAAGGAGGAAGTAAAACTGTCATTATTTGCAGATGACATGATATTACACATAAAAAACCCTAAACGCAATCTACAGTGTCAGCACAATCCTTATTAAAATACTAATAGCGCCGGGACCAGTTTGGCTCAATGGACAGAGCGTAGGCTTGGGGACTGAAAGGTCCCGAGTTCGATTCCGGTCAAGGGCATGTACCTTGGTTGCGGGCATATCCCCAGTAGGGGGTGTGCAAGAGGCAGCTGATCGATGACTCTCTCTGATCGATGTTTCTAACTATCTCTCTCCCTTCCTCTCTGAACAAAAAATCAATAAAATATATTATAAATAAATAAATAAATAAAATACTAATGGCATATTTCACAGATCTAGAACAAATATTATATGGAACCAAATTTATATGGAACCGGAAACAACCTCAAACACCCACAGTAATCTTAGAAGAATCACAATACTGGACATCAAACTATACTATGAAGCCAATGTAAGCAAAACAGCCTGATACTGGCATAAGAACAGGCATACAGATTAACAGAACAAAACAGAGACCCCAGAAATTGACTCATGCCTTTATAGTAAATCAACATTTGACAAAGGAGGCAAGCGCATAAATAAAGACAGTGTATTCCATAAATGGTTTGGGAAAATTGGACAGGTACATGCAAAAAAAATGAAATTAGACTACTAACTTATACCATGCACAAGAATAAACTCAAAATAGAAAAGACTTAAATGTAAGTTGCAAAACCATAAAAATCCTAGAAGAAAACATGAGCAGTAAAATCTCAGACATTTTACATAGCAGAATTTTCACTGATATAGCTAAGGCAAGAGAAACAAAGAAAAAATAAACAAATGTGACTATGTCAAACTAAAAAGCTCCTGCATGGCAAAGGAAACCACCCTCAAAATGCAGAGGGAACCCACTCTATGGGAGAACATATTTGCCAATTATACATTTGATAATGGGTTAATTTCCAAAATACATTAAGAACTCATACAACTCAACAAAAGGAAGACAAACAATCCAATTAAGAAATGTGCAAAGGAGCAGAATAGACACTTCTACAAAGAGGACATACAAATGGCCAATATACATGAAAAAATGTTCAAAGGCACTAGTCATCAGAGAAATGCAAATTAAAACTACAATAAAATATCACCTCACACCTGCCAGGATGGCTACCATCAATAAATCAACAAACAAGTGCTGGCAAGGATGTGAGGAAAAGGAAACCCCAGGGCACATGCAAACTGGTGCGGCCACTGTGGAGAACAGGATGGGATTTCATAAAAAAGTTAAAAATGGAACTGCCATTTAACCCAGTGATCCCACTTCTGGGAGTATATCCTATTTTTATTGATTTCAGAGAGGAAGAGAGGTATAGAAACATCAAGGATGAGAGGGAATCATTGACTGGCTGTCTCCTGCAACACTGGACTGAGCCTGCAACCCAGGCATGTGCCCTTGATCAGAATCGAACCTGGGACCCTTAGGTCCGCAGGCTGTCGTTCTGTCCACTGAGCCAAATTGGCTAAGTCTGGGAGTATATCTTAAGAATCCCAAAACACTAATCAGAAAGAATATATAAGCTCCCATGTTTATAGCAGCACAACTTACAATAATTAAGATCTGGAAACAGTCCAAGTGCCCATCAGTAGATGAATGGATTAAAAAGCTGTGGGACATTTACACAATGGAATACTATGCAGCTTTAAAAAAAAGGAGGATCTTTGAGACAGCATGGATGGACCTGGAGATTATTATGCTAAGGAAAATAAGTCAATCAGAGAAAGACAAGTATCATATGATCTCACTCATATGTGGCACCTAATGTACAAAATAAACTGACAAAATAGGTTGAGATGTATGGAATACAATGACAGGTCAGAGAGGAGAGGGGTAGAAGCGATGGGAAAAGGTTAACCAAAGAACATATGTGTATATAGGCATAGCCCATGGACATAGGCAATAGTGTGGGAAAGGCCTGGGTGGGGTTGGGGCTGGGTGGAAGAGGGCAAAGGAGGAGAAAATGGGGGATGATTGTAATGCTGCCAACAATAAAAAGAAAAAAAAAAGGTTTTACTTTAAAATACTAAACTATGTAATTTACATTTGATAAGAGATGTTTGATAATGATACTGGTAATAACTATAATGTACAAAATGTTTATAACTATGTATATACAAAAAAAAGTGAAAATCCTAATAATACTGCATTAGTTTCAATTTAGTTTACCTATACCCTATTTTATTTTAGCAAGGTGAACATGCTTAAATAAACCTGACTTCTGTAATAACAAAAACAAGAAAATTATAGTAACACTGAGTTCATGTTGCTATAATTAGAACCACCAAATGGGATCGAGGCTGGTTTTAGTGAGATGTGATCTAACACACTTACCTATCTCATTAACTAGGTGTGGAGTGTGATGGTGACTTGGTTTTCATGGACAGCACATTCATCAATTCTGGAGTCATTTCAAGTAAGGTCACTCTAAGTGTTGATCCATATATCATATTTTTAAAAAATATTGCAAAATATAATTGGGGCTACTAAAAATAAAGTCAGCTTCAGGTAATCGTCTGAAAAATAATCCTACTTTTCAATTTCCCCCTGATACAGCAATACTTAGGGTCAGATCATAAGAAATTGCTAATTAGTTTAAATGTTGTTGATGTCCAACTAAGTAAAGCATTATAAAAAACTTAAAATGGAACATTTCATCCAAGGGGAAGACTATCTATACTAATAAAAGAGAAAAATGCTAATTGACTGTACCTTCGCTATGCCCAAAGTCAATCAGAGTGAGTATGAAAATTAAACCAACAAAGATGGTGGTTAATTTGCATATGCTGAGGGAGGGAAGAGTGAAGACTGAAGACAGCATAGAAGAGGGAGGGAAAGCATGGGTGGGGCGATGGCTTGCAGGCATCTTCCTGCAACGGGGCCCCTAGTTATAAATAACAGGAATGCAATCCAAATAAATGCAGACCAAACATGAATACATTCTTGGGAAAACTGCTGCTCTTTTCAGCCATGAAATAGTATCTCATACTCATCTAGTGGTTTATATTTTTCAGGGAACTCTGATACATTAAGTCAATAGGACTCTGTGAAGTATCGATATAAGGGGAGATTAGCATTTTATGATTAGAGTCAAAGGTTACCCGAGTTTCTATGAAGATGGCGCCTAAAGTGAAGAAGGAAGCCCCTACCCCTCCCAAAGCCGAAGCCAAAGCAAAGGCTTTGAAGGCAAAGAAAGCAGTGTCGAAAGGCGTCCACAGCCACAAAAAAAAAAAGAAGATCCGCACGTCACCCATCTTCCGACAGCCAAAGACACTAAGGCTCCGGAGGCAGCCTAAATATCCTCGGAAGAGCACGCCCAGGAGAAACAAGCTTGACCACTAAGCCATCACAAGTTCCCCCTGACTACCGAGTCAGCCATGAAGAAGATAGAAGACAATAATACACTTGTGTTCATTGTGGATGTCAAGGCCAAAAAGCACCAGATCAAACTGGCTGTGAAGCTCTATGACATTGATGTGGCCAAGGTCAACACCCTGATCAGGCCTGATGGCGAGAAGAAGGCATATGTTCGACTGGCTCCTGACTATGATGCTTTGGATGTTGCCAACAAAATTGGAATCATCTAAACCAAGTCCAGCTGCCTAATTATAAATATAAAAATTTTACACTGAATAAAAAAAAAAAAAGTTACCCTTGAAAGTTAAAGGAAGTAACTCTCCACTTTCCACTTCCTCACCTACTACTATTACATTTTTGGGGGAGTCAAAAGTTATACATGGATTTTTAAACTCCATGAGGATTGGTGCCCTAAACCTCCACATTGTTCAAAGGTCAACTGTATTTCCCATTCACTACTTCTTGAATTCTCACTTTTGCCTTCACACTCAAATAAAACTACTACCTCTAAGATAACCCATAACTTCCCTTAAAAATGTATTAAAAGAAAATATGGAATCCTCTGAAGGTGTTGGTAATGTTCCATTATTTGACTATGTGGTTACTTGGGTATGTTCACTGTGTGGTAATTCACTGAGAATTGTATACTTTTTCTGAATGTATGTTGGGCAAGGGAGGATAAGGGTGGGGAGAAGGGGAGGATAAGGGAGAGTAGGGGAGGGGGAGGGAAGGGGAGGAGAAAGGAAAGGGAAGGGAAAGGAAGGGAAGAGAAGGGGAGGGTGGGTTGGGAAGAGGGAGGGGTGGGTAGGAGAAGGGGAGGGAAGGGAAGGAGGAGGGAAAAGTGGGGAGGGGAGGGGAGGGAAGGGGAGGAGGAGGGAAGGTTGGGGAGAATAGGGGAGGGAGGAAAGAAACGAAAGAACTTGCAAATGTTTAGAGTGTGTGTGATTGGGGGGAGGGGGGGTGGAGACAGATAACAATTTTAGAGAGATTAGTAAAAATAAATTATGCACAACCCAGCATACTCACACACACAAAAAAATCCCTGTTAGCTTTGTCTAATCATCATCTCCCAAGACAGGTATGTAATCTTGTCAGCATTTTACAGAGGTTTGTAATGTCAGAGTCAGGGTTCGAATAAACTACAACTGGCTCCAAAGTCCATTCTCTTTAGTACAGAAATCTTAGTTGCAATCATGGCACACCTACTACTTTCACACTCATCTTAATGGTGTTCAATTAATCACTTCTAAAGGGCTACATAAGGAATATGATGAACCATTCCCCTAGAGCTGGATCTCTGAATTGTTTTCAGAATTCAATTATTATTGATCGTTATTATTATGTTTCGGAGAACGACTTGTTGGCTTACGCTGTCAACTGTCTTAAAAACAAACAAACGCCAGGCTGAAATCTTATCACAAACCCTCATTCCTTCCCCAAACACATACATAGGAAATTTCAATAGCTGTCTTCTGCTAAAAGAAAGAAAAGGAACCAGACTGAGCACGGCCACACTGTATCGGCTTCAGCTTACCGCGAGGAAAACGGCGGCCCGGCGGGCCCTCAGCTAGCGAAGCCCGCCCTCCGCGGAGGGGGTGTCCGCCCCGCCGCCCCGCCGCCCCCCGGGCCGCACGGGGCTCCGCGCTCCGCAGCGGCTGCCGGGCGGTGCATGGAAGCTGCTCTCCCGGCAGCTGCTGTCACTGAAGGCAGGGCCTCCAGGCTGGTGTGCCCACGGCGCGGGGATTCTCTAAGCTTTGCCACAACCGGGTCACAACCCTCTCCCAGAAGGAAGAGTTGGGGCCGAGCCCACAGGAGGCGGGTCCCTCGCCCGCCCCGGGAGCGAGGGCTGCAGGTAGAGACCCGGGGCGCCCGCCAGCCCGCCCCCCGCGCGGACACGTGGGCGCCGAGGCCGCATCCTCCCCCTCCGCCCCTGCCGGCCGGCCTTCCGCCGGCCCCGCGGGCCCCGCTCCGGCCAGCTCGTCCCCTCCGCGCCGCCTCCGCTCCTCACCTGGCGCTCGCCCTGAGCGCTGTACTTGTTCCCTTTCCTCAGCCCAAGGGACTTCTCCAGCAGCGTCAGCTCGGCGGCCGCCGCCATCTTCCAGTCTGAGCTCCGGGCCGGGGCGGGACTGCGAGATCCCGGCGACGGCGGGAGGGAAGGCGCTGCACAAACTCTTCTCCTATTGGCTGAGCGCAGGGGGCGGGAGGCGCGCCTGCGCGGGGGCGGGGCCCAGAGGGGGTGGGCGTGGCGGGAGACAGGTGGGGCGGGCGGGGTCTCCGGCCCAGGAGATCTGCAGGTTGACGGGGAGCCAGCCTTTGGTTGCCACTGGAAGCTGCATCTGCCCACGTCTAAATGACAGGCTGATTGATTGCAGAGTTAACTGGTTAACTGACACTTTTTATTCATAGTTGAAACCGATATTTATCTTAGTCTGGCTCAGGAATCTGAATTTAAACGATCAAGATGAAGAGCAAAGAGTTCACAATCTGTTAAGGGTTTCCAACATAAAGTGTTAATTATGGGGATTTTAACTGTTTAAATTAAATTATTTTAATTTTTCTTATGTAAATCTACAGCTCAATAGTAGCAGTAGAATATAAATTTAAAGATAACTTATAGAGCACTGGGTAGTTAGTATCCTGTAGTCCCTCTACCCCCCTCCCCCTAAAAAAATCAGCCATTAGTAGTTTTAAGGGTCTTTATTAGCAATACCAGAAAGAGAGTGATATGATTTATGTAGCTTTTGTTATGTAAGTAAGCAGTGCACATGACATTTTCCCCTTAAGTTGCTATATTTTTGTATTTCAAAATAGAAAATGGGCAGTGTATGTTGAAGGCTTGAATATTTACAAAAAATTTCTGAAAAAAATTCTACATCGCAGAATGAATAAACAAAATGTGTTTTAGTTCGAGAGAAATGAAAATTCTCTTTTCCTTATATTTCTCCTGCTGCCAGTATTCTGGGTTAGGAAAGATGTCACACAATACAATATTGCCTTGTAAGCTTCTGTATTTCTCATTTAGTGATGAACTACCTAAAAGTGATAACTTTTTTGAATTAATGTTGAGTAAATGGGTGGAATATCACTTCTAACTTATGCTTTTTGATTGAGTTATTGAAAATAGATTTTGTAATTAAAAAGAAATTTTGTTTGATTTAGCATATTTTCAAGCTTCTTACTTCCCTTCCAGTCCTGAAGTTTTTTAACCTGGAATTTCCTTTTCTTCTATGGTGTTCATACGTTTGTTTTGGATGTTTATGACTAGGAAAATAAAATTGCTTGAATACTCCATCACTTCTGAGATGAAAAGGAATGGAGATGATTCCACAAAAAAAGAGGCAAATTTAAACTGGATTTCAGGAGCTAGAGATTATTCAATAGTAGCTAATTTTGTCATAATAGTAGCTGATTCTGTCTTTCAATATTTAAAGTGAACATGTATTTTTGTATACTTTTGCCTTCAAGTGGACATACATTTTTGTACTATTGATATAATTTTGTAATTATAATTTTGTAATGTAACTGTACTACTAATTCAATTTTGTATAGTTGGCTGGAAGGGCCTTTTGTTATGGACAACTGTAGTGTATAAATATAGTGGCTTGCCTGCTTTAAACAGAATTTATGGATGGCCATAGAGAGAGGTATCTAGGTGTCTCTGACATACTTTCTATACTAATACAAATAAATGAGAAAGAGGATCAGAAGAGCTTCATGTACAGATGCGTAGAAGGACCCTATAGTTGTTTTAATGCTCTGCTTTTGCCATCTTAAAATTCTTAACGGTGTTTTAAAAATAGGGCCTGCATTTTCATTTTGCACTAGACTTCATGAGAAGAAAGGAAATCATAATGATCAGAGTATAAATACAATTGATTTTAAAATAACAATACAAAAGATCAATGAAACCAAGGGCTGATTCTTTGAAAAGATAAACATGATTGACAAACCTTTAGCCAAACTCATGAAGGAAAAAAAAGATGACCCAAATAAATAAAATCAGAAATGGAAAAAGAGAAGTAACAACTGGAATACACGGGATTGTAAAAAAAGTATTACAAATAACTATATGCCAATAAATTGGACAATCTGGACAAAATGTATACATTTCTAGAAATATACAACCTTCTAAAACTGAATCAGGAAGAATCAGAAAATCTGAATAAATGAATTAAAACTAATGAAATCAAAGCAATGTTAAGAAAACTGACAGTAAAGAAAAGCCCTGGATTAGATAGCTTTTCAGGTGAATTTTCCCAATCATTCAAAAAAGAACCAGCATCTATCCTCAAACTATCCCAAAAAATTCAAGAGGAGGCAAGACTCCCATGCTCATTTTATGAGGCCAGCATTATCCTAATTCCAAAACCAGAGAAGGATACTGCAAAGAAAGAAAAGTATAGGCAATATCCCTGATGAAAATAAATGGTAAAATCCTCAACAAAATATTATCAAACAGGATCCAGTGATACATTAAAAATATCATACACTATGCTCAAGTGGATTTTAATTCAGGGATGCAAGGTGATATTATCCACAAATCAATAAATGTGATATGCCACATAGACAAAATGAAAGATAAAAATTACATGATTATATCAATAGAAGCAAAAAAGCATTTGATAAAATCTAGCACTAATCCTATATAATAAAGAGGTAATATGCAAATTGACTGTCACTCCAACACATAAGATGGTCGTCACAAGATAGCTGGCAGGAGAGGGCAGTTGTAGGTGATCAGGCCAGCAGGGAAGGACAGTTAAGGACGATTGGGCCAGTAGGGGAGCAGTTAGGGTCAATCAGGCTGGCAGGTGAGTAGTTAGGGGGTAATCAGGTTGGCAGGCAGAAGCAGTTAGGGACAATCAGGTAGGTGAGCAGTTGGGAGCCAGCAGTCCTGGATTGTGAGAGGTAAGTGGGATAGAGAGAATATACCTCATATGGCCATATATGACAAAACCACTGCCAACATCATACTCAATGGGCAATAACTAAAAGTGTTTCTTTTAAGATCAGGAACAAGATAGGATGCCTACTTTCATCACTCTAATTCAACATAGTACTAGAAGTCCTAGCTAAGGCAATCAGACAAGAAGAAGATATAAATGACATTCAAAATGGGAAAGAATAAATAAAACTGTCATTATTTGCAGATGACATGATACTGTATATAGAAAACCCTAAAGATTCCACCTAAAAACTACTAGAACTGATAAATGAATTCAATAAAGTAGCAGGATACAAAAAATATACCCAGATGCCAGCTGTATTTTTTTACACCAATAATAAAAGGAAACTAAGAAAACGATCCCATTTACAATTGCATAAATAACTTCATCAGAATAAATTTAACCTAGGATTTAAAAGACCTGTACTTATAGAAAACTATAAGACACTGAAGGAAGAAATTGGATAAGGTATAAATCAGTGGAAGCATATACTTTATGGATAGGAAGAATTAACATCATTAAAATGTCCGCACTACCCAAGGCAATCTACAGATTTAACGCAATTCCTATCAAGATACCAATATCATATTTTATAGAACTGGAACAAATATTCAAAAAATTTATATGGAACCATAAAAGAATCTAAATCAATCTTTAGAAAGAAGAACAATATTCAAAGAATCATGCTACCTGTTATCAAATTATAATAAAAGGCCACAGTAATAAAAACAACATGGCATTGGCATAAAAACAGACATATAGATTAATGAAACAGAATAGCAAGCCCAGAAATAAGCTCACTCCTTCATGGTCAGCTAATATTTGACAAAATAGGCAAGAACATACAATGGGGTAAAGATAGTCTATTCAATAAATAGTGTTGAGAAAATTGGACAGATATCTGCAAAAATATAGACCACCTTCTTACAGCATACACAAGAATAAACGCAAAGTGGATCAAATACTTAAATGTTAGACTTGAAACCACAAAAATTCTAGAAGAAAACATAGTCAGGAAAATCTCAGACATTTCATAAAAGTTGATTAATGTAAGTAGATTAGGAATATTCAGCATTAAACATCTCAAGCAAAGGAAACAAAAGAAAAAACAAACAAATGGGACTACATAAAAATAAAAAGGTTTTGCACTGCAAAAGAAATGATCAACAAAATGAAAAGACATTTCACTGAATGGGAGAACATATTCACCAATGATATATCTGATAAGGGGTTAATCTCTAAAATTTATAAAGAATTTATACAACCTCAACACTAAAAAAACAAGCAATGCAATTTGAAAATGGGCAAAAGACCTGAATAGACACTTCTCCATGGTATATATACAGATGACCAATAAATATGAAAAGATGCTCAACATCACTAATTATCAGAGAAATGCAGATTAAAATCACAATAATATATCATCTCACACCTGTCAGAACTGGTATCATCAATAAATCAATGGACAAGTGGTGGTGAGGATGTGGAGAAAAGGGAACCTTCATGCACTATTGGTGGAAAAACAGATTGGTACAGCCACTATGGAAAGCAGTATAGAAATTCTTCAAAAATTTAAAAAACGGAATTGCCTCAAGATCCAGTGATTCCACTTCTAGGAATATATCTGAAGAAACTCAAAACCCCAATTTGAAAGAATATATTTACCCCTATGTTCATTGCTGCATTATTTACAATAACCAAGATCTGGAAACAGCCAAGTGCCCATCAGTAGATGAGTGGATAAAAAAGCCATCATGCATTTATTCAATTGAATACTACTAAGCAGTAAGAAGAAGGAAATCTTCTTGGATGGACCTGGAAGTTTTATGCTAAGTGAAATAAGCCAGTCAGCAAAAGACAAATACTATATGATTTCACTTACATGTGGAATCTAATGAACAAAATAAATAAAATAGAAACATATTCATAGATACAGAGAACAAACTGATAGCTATCAGAGGGGAGGAATTGGGATAAAGAAAAAACACACACCCTAAAACTCCAAACCCTCACAGATACAGATAACAGTATGGTGAATACAAAAGGTAGCGGAGGCTGGGGTGTGTTCAAAGAGGTTATTGGTGACAGAAGAAGACTTGAGTTTGGGTGATGGACACAGAATACAGTATATAGATGATGTATTATAGATATATTATATATACCTGAAGCATATT